CCCCCCCCCCCCACCGCATGGCCGGATAGTGCCTACCACAGTGGTGCTAGTGCCAGATTGGGACCACTGGCAGGGTCTGGCCTGTGGATGGATGGGGTGCTGCTCACCTGGCCCACTGGGGGAAAAAGGTTAATGCCTTAGAAGAAATGTTTCTTTATTCTCTTTCTCTTCTCCATTATCAATAAATTTCTTAAGCCAAGATTACTGTTACTTAACTGTGAACTGGCAGACTGATTTTTTTTTGAAGGCAGAGGGGAGAGAAGGGTACAGGGGGGTAGTGCTTGCTTTCTTCTTCTTTCTTTTTTTTTTAAGATTTTGAAATGCAGCAGTGTGTAAAAACCCATGTATTTTACAGTTTAAATTTAATGCAATGAGCTCCTGCAGTTTCATACCCCAAAGGGAATAATACCCCTCTAGGCAGTCAAAGGGTAAATGCCATAGTGCTGGGTTGCAGTCTCTTGTATGGTCTTTCTCAGTGATTGCATGGGCCATTAAATATCAAAAATATTTCAGCTGTCTACTCTGACTTCCTTTAAAAATTTAATCTCAACTTCATTATGCATGTTTCCTGTACATCTTTGTGTGTTTTTAAATACAAAAGGAGAGAGTAACTGAAGAAACATGGTTTTAAGGACAGTCCAAAATTGTGGAATATTTTAAACAATAATTCACTTGCTGCAGCTTCTGATTGCAATGTCAAAAATGAAATTTAAGAATTTGTTCACACAGGACTATCATGGAGGGACTAAAGCTATTTTTCCTACATTAACTTTTCTAAACACACATCAGAGATTCATTGTAGTTAGTTCCCTAATATACAGAAAGGTCTAGAATATGGGATTTTAATTTTTTCCCCAAATTTTTATTTTAAAAAAGGCCTGTGAAGAGCATTATCACAATTGTGGTGTGATAGATGAGGTTGTTCGCTTTCAGCTTTGCTCTCAGTCGAAGTTGATTAACGAACCAATAAGCACTTGATGTACTTAAAAACTTGAATTCATAATGATTAAAATCAAGCTTGGGGTACTAGAAGATTTTTAAAAAGTGATTAAGAGATGCCTTGAGAAGGATATAAAATGGTAAAGAACCAAGTCAGGAATTTAAAATGTCAATTTTCAGGCATTCTGTCTGGCATAGTGGGGAGGACAGGACAAAAAAAAAATGGCTTTTTTTTTAAGCAGGAATAGTTTCTTAATAAATTGAGTTTAAAGATAAGATGCCCTTTAAGTGCAATATAATTTATATATTATTGAATAACAGTGATTGGCTGCGTACAAAAATGACTGCCACCAATAAACATTCATTGTGGTTCACATGTAGCAGGTTGGATCTGATGTTGAGTTTTTATGGAAAAATCATGTGGAGGAATTGGTGCTTACCCAGAATCAAATAAAAGGAAATCCATCCAATGAAGTATACAATAAATCTCATACTCTGAGGGTTAGTTTAATAGGACACAACACACTGTAGTATCTAGGTAACTTATTAATAGAAGAGTTTTATATTCTCACAAAAAGCAATGATCGTTCACGTGGCAATGGATGTTTAGTTGTTTATGAAACATTAGGAAATAAGCAACTCTTTAATTTTGACTCACTTGAAAGATTCTATCATCTAAATTTTCCTGTGTTAAGGCTTTGAATCTGCCAGGTGCTGGGCTCCATTTAACATTTTTGCTCCCAAATTAACCCCTTTGTTTTGGGAGTCTTTTTACAGTCTGCTCCTGGAAACATATCAATTGAGATTGATAGTCAAGGGTTAAAGAAACACAGTAGGTAGATGCAATAATAAATTAACACCTGAATCATTGCCCTTTACTTCAATGGAAGCAGAATCAAGCCCTTCAGATAGTAGAGCTAGTGGCATCAATTAAAAAATAGATTCTAAAAAAATTGCTCAATTTCTGTTCCTAATATCTTTGCATTTAGGGTAACAGTTGCTCACATTCAGTTTGAAATTCTATGCACCCCTTTCTGATTTGATTTTCCCCCCCCCCCC